TCAGATGCAGGGGTGAAAATTGGGACTGTAGAAAGACAAACCTCCTCGGAAGTCAAGATATCTGTCAATCAAAGCGCCATCCAATGGCCAACTTTATTTAACAAAGTAGTTGAGGCTGCTTGGATTTTGCTCTTCTATTTATCTCCATGTGTGGAAATTTTTCTGCTCAGAAATAATTCTTATTGAGGCCAGTTGAGTTACCCTTCAATTCCCTCACTTCCAAATAAGAGAACTTAAAGCCTCATTAATTCATTAGATATCATTTTACTTTAGAGGTTTTACAATAATCTATCACACACTGGAATCTGCTGCATTGTATTGCGGGATTTGCAATCTACAATATTAAACTGGAATATGTTGCCATAATTTATAGTACATCAAATTTATCTTCTTTTCAGTAAGAGAAAATCCAGAATGTCTATGGAGATTCTCAGTCATCCAGGTTGTATCAAAGGTGCTTTTTCAAAAGGCACCTGAACTTTGTTTTCCCTTGAAGATGTTTCACTTCTCATCCAAGAAGCTTCTTCAGTTCTGACTGAATGGTGGAGGATGGAAAGATTTGGAACCGCTGAAAAGACTGTGTTGTAAACAGGATATAGATATAGATTCAGCAATTGCAGGAAGGTTCCACACCCGTTTGCACTATTCAGGTGGCCCTGAGAGTGCAGATAAATTTCAAGTGGCCTCAACAACTTTCAGAAAGACTGCTAACCACCAGATGACTGTAAGAAATATAAATCCTTCCATACTTCACCATTCAGTCAGCACTGAAGAAGCTTCTGGAATGAGAAGTGGAATGTCTTTAAGGGAAAACAAAGATCAGTTGTCTTTTGAAAAAGCATCTTTGGGAGAAAAATCCAGAACATGAAAAGCAAAGATGGAGAAAAAATATATACCATATTTTTCGGAGGATTAGACACTCTGGAGTATAAAGTGCAACTTAGTTTTTGGGGAGGAAAATAAGAAAAAAAAAATCTGTATTCAGCTGGCTAGCATCCTGTCAGTGTGTGAGAGAGTTGAGGACTGTTTGGAAACTGAAACAGTATTTACTGTGGGAGCAACATGAAAGGAGCCTCGGCGTGGCTTAGGTTGATTATTCTAAAGCTGCATGCTGTGCTGATCTCTGAAACTGAAACTGAAACTCCTCTGTTCTACTTGAGTTTTCCTTGCTGCTGCAAACTGTGACAGTCCTTGCACAAACAGCCAGGTCAGCCTCAGCACATTATTGCAGCCTGATTCAGTATGAGCAGCTGATTGGCGGGTGGATTGGTCTCCCAGAATACCCCCAATCAGCTGTTCCAGGCTGCAGGGATTACCGAAGACCATTGCTTCCTCCGTGCCTCGCATTTTTGGCTACGTTTGGTGTATGAGATGCATTGAAATTTTCACCCTCTTTTGGGGGGGAGGGAAGTGCGTCTTATATTCCAAAAAATACGGTAAGTTATATCATTCTTACACATGCCCTCAGGAATAACACCTTTTCTAATGGAACTACTTTCCTTTGGGGAAAAAAATAAGGCAGTGAGTCTGTTTTGGGATCTACAATGGAGATTGATAGAGAAAGAGAATGATCTTTCATTTGCCCCTTGCAAGGAGAGTAATTACAGTTCATTCCACTACTTCTTGACTGATTTCGCTCAATGTGCTCCTTAGCTTTTGGAAGCCACTTGATTTCAGTAAATCCTTCTAATTCATACAGTAGATCACCCTGACTAATCTTTCTGTTTATGTTTAGATGGTGCCTTATTCAAGATGTACAGAAAGTTGCTCCCCAGGTTATGCCAAGGTTGTGAGAGAGGGAGCCCCAGTTTGCTGCTATGACTGTTCTCTGTGTATGGAAGGAACATTCTCTGTGCAAGAAGGTACAGTAGGTGGCTCCAAAAATAACCCATAAAAATTCAAGATACAATCAATATTCTATCTTGTTTTGGGAGGGATATTTGATAAAGAAGCAAGAAAAACATTAAATTTCTTGAAGGCATCCACAAATTTCAAAGATTGGGCACTATCACCAAATTTAGATGATGTTGAAAGCATTAAAACATATAATGAAAGATTGCTGATTTCTAATGAGTTGTTACTTTTTTGCTTGGTTTTGGGAAAGAGGATTCTTTTGAGAGCTGATAATCACATTCATCTTCAGCTTTTAAAAAGACTGTTTGATTCTTTTAACTAATGTTGTATAATATCACTGGGCAAAAATATTATTCTTTGAATATGAAGTAACTGATTTCTGATGCAGTTTTCATGCTCCTACAGCTGCAGAAACAGATTCATGCTAAGCATTTTTTTTCCACAGATGCAGCCCATTGTGAAAAGTGTCCAGATGACCAGTATTCCAATAAGAAGCGAGATCAGTGTGTCCCCAAAAATATAAGCTTCTTATCCTATCAAGAATTGTTGGGACTCATCCTGGCTTTCTTTGCCATCGCTTTGTCCCTAACCACCGCCTTTATTCTGGGAATCTTCATGAAATACCGAGACACTCCCATAGTCAAAGCCAACAACTGTGAACTCACCTACATCCTCCTGGTTTCACTCCTGCTTTCTTTCTTGACTTCCCTTCTATTCATCGGTCGCCCCGTGAAAATGACCTGTCTCCTTCGACAAACCATTTTCAGTGTTGTTTTCTCAGTTGCTGTGTCTTCCTTGCTGGCCAAGACTGTCATGGTGGTGGTGGCCTTTCTGGCCACAAAGCCAGGCAGCAGCATGAGGAAATGGCTGGGGAAGAGTCTGGCCAACTCTATTGTTTTATCCTGCTCTGGTGTTCAAGTAGGCCTCTGTATGATGTGGCTGGGAGTCTTTCCCCCATTCCCAGATTCTGACGTTCATTCCCAACCAGAACACATCCTGCTGCAGTGCAATGAAGGCTCTGTCACCATGTTCTACTCTGCTCTTGGCTACATGGGTTTTTTGGCTGCCATCTGTTTCTTGGTGGCATTTCTGGCTCGAAATCTGCCAGGGGCCTTTAATGAAGCCAAACTTATCACCTTCAGCATGTTGGTTTTTTGTAGCGTTTGGATCTCCTTTGTTCCCACATATCTGAGCACCAAGGGGAAATACATGGTTGCCGTGCAGATCTTCTCCATCCTGGCCTCTGGCCTGGGTTTACTGGGCTGCATCTTTATCCCCAAATGCTACATTATTATCCTGAGACCTGACATGAACACCAAAGAACATCTGATGATAAAAAATCGTTAAGGTTCTTTGTGCTCGTGTTTATTTTTGTACAGTTTACATGCAGCATAAAATCACATACTTTGAAGTAATGTTTTATGTATTGTCACTTATCTTTCTTCATTCCATGAGAATTTTGAATTATAAAAATTATAATAATTGAGTAATAAAGTTGCTAAAACAACTCAAATTATCTGAAATAATCATATCCTTCAATTGTCCTAATCTGAATTCATATTATGACATTAATAAAATTTCTGGAACCAGGCTAGATAAACTTTTACCAGAGATGTTTTGATACGGTTTTAGATTAAATTAAAGTTTATGGCTAATGATATGTGTTTTGGTTACTATATAGGTTGGTGTGCTGGTGTTATATTTTATTTTCTGCATTGATAGTTAAAGTCCAAATTCTGTATATATTTGATTGATCTATTCTGGCTCAATGATGTAAGATCATTCATAGTTAGATAAATGAGATAGATAGATAGATAGATAGATAGATAGATAGATAGATAGATAGATAGATAGATGATAGATAGATAGATAGATAGATAGATAGATAGATAGATAGATAGATAGATAGATGAGAGATGATAGAAGAGATCAAGAAAGAGAAAAACAGAGAAACAGATAACATGTATTAAGAATAGATAAAATATCAACATGAAAATAGGAGCAACTTTAAGTTTTTTCTCCATCCCTTTGAATCAATTAATGAGACAAATTATTTTTTTTACAGTCTTCAATCAAAAGAAAAATATGTACAGCTCTGAATGATTTGGGGAAAAAATCATGTAGATACCTAATTTGACAATGATGTGCTTATGAATATTAAAATTGGTTCCTGTTTTTTATCCATTTCCATATCCATTTCAATATCCATTTCCATTTCCATTTCCATATACTGTACATATAGTAGCATACAGTGTTTTGTATATACAAAGCACTGTGAAGTACTATATAAACCTGCTATTGCTATTGCTATTGTGAAGAAATCAGTAATGGGCCATTGTTTCAGATTAATGCCCCAGGGAATTTTGACTAGATCTTCTTTGTAAACATTAAGTCTCTTCTACATTTTGAAAGATACAAGAAATTTAACAGGGGGCTCCAATAGCAATAGCACTTAGACTTATATACTGCTTCATAGTGCTTTACAGCCCTCTCTAAGCAGTTTACAGTGTCAGCATATTTGCCCCCAACAATCTGGGACCACATTTTACCGAACTGGGAAGGATGGAAGGCTGAGTCAACCTTGACCCTGGTGAGATTCGATCTGCCAAACTGCTGGGAGCTGGTGATCAGCAGAAGTAGCCTGTAGTACTGCACTTAACCACTAATGGCTCATCATCAACAACAATAGGTTGTTCAATATGTCATGATCTGGAGTTAACCATCCTGGAGTATCTAACCATCATTGAAGAAGATGACCTCATCCACACCAGACCAAATAAGAAGGAAATATAATGGCCCGCTGCCTAGTTCAAGAGTGTTGAACTGTTTTTCCACATTTTAATCTTTATAATCTCAAGAATAAGTTTGGAGACTAAAAAACAATCAAACTTCCCTGAATTCTTCCTTTCTCAACTCTCAAATACGGATTATTCTCCTGAGTCAAACAAAATTCTTTTCTCCAACGGCACACTTTTATGCCAAGGCTCGTTCCCAATTCCCCTTCTAATTATTAAAATCATGATTATTTATTCTCCGTTGAACAAGGTTTATGGGATTTCCACCACCACAATTAGTTGCTAATCTATGTGACAACAAATGGGATAGACAGCATGTGATAATCTGATTTGTAACAGCCTCCTGAGATGAGATCAGAGTTTGGGGTAAAGCTGGGCAAACACTGTAGCAGTCTGAAATTGCAGATAGCTCTTCCAAATCTGGGGGCAAATTGGACCTTCTTCACTGTAGTTGTGGTCTTTTTGTGATCTCTGAGATTTAACTCTGTGCCGAAGAAAGAACTCTAGGAAGGATCTCCTGCAGTATACTGTATGTCAAATGTTGCTGCTGCTGCATATACAGCTTTTTCTGCTTCAGTTTCTGTCTCAAATTCCCTGTGCCAGTACGCTGATGAAATGTCCATTTAAGGTGATCATAGAAGAAAACGAGTGTTTCCATTACTACAAGCCAGGAGACTATTGGATTACGGGAATAATGTCTGAAATCATAGCTCTATTGTACCCATTTTCATTCTCCAAGCCTCCAATCCACCAACTGAAAAGGTAATTGTCAGCTCGTCCAAGGATTCTGGTGATTGATTTTACCTGCTCCAATGTATTTTCTTTATATATATAAATATATTTTTTAAATTTTCTTTTAATACAAACATTCCCTCTTTCAGTAAACAGTGAGTACATATTTTTGTGTCATGACAATTAAAATTTACCACCATATTCATTATTTGTATCTATTCTTATATTACTACTAATATTTAACATACCTACTATTATAAATTTTCTCTTCTTAACTTATTTGCCCTTATAATACATTGCTTTCATATCTATTCTCCAACCATTGATAGAATAACTCCCATATATTATAATAATTATATTCTTCATTTCCTTTGATTGCAACTGTTAATCTATGTATCTATGTATCTTTTCTTTTATGTACACTGAGAGCGTATGCACCAAGACAAATTCCTTGTGCGTCCAATCACACTTGGCCAATAAAAAATTCAATTCTATTCTATTCTATTCTATTCTATTCTATTCTATTCTATTCTATTCTATTCTATTCTATTCTATTCTATTCTATTCTATTCTATTCTATTCATTTCTGCATGTTCTAATATTTTCTTAATCATATTTTCATTCATAGGGTTCTCTTCACTTTTACAATTTTGTGCAAATACAATTCTAGCTGCAGTTATTACATGAATAATTGGTATACATTTTCTTTACTAAAAGTTTCTAGTAGAATGCCCAACAGGAATAGTTCAGGTTTTAAATTGATATGTTGCTGCATCATCTTCTCCAACCACATACCTGCAATGTCTTTTCTAGGAATGATTTCCTTTCCCCTATTCCTCACCTTGATAAAGTCAAGTCATTATTGCTCATCCCAATTTGCTTTAGAGGAAAGGCTCCTGGGGAACCTGATGATTTTGTAAAACCTGAGTTTGTAAAGTTTCTTTTTAAGTTCAATGAATCTTGCCTGGATAGGGTTCTGCCTGCTTTCAAAACAATTACCTTGGTACTGTGGAGTCAGTTAAATAGTTAAACAGTAACTCCCAATAAAGTGATTGAATGATACCTTAGAACAGAGTGAGATCTCTTGAATTTTCTCCCCACAGTTTCTTCCCCTTCCTTACATTTACTCTTTAATTCCTACCATCCTCTCTGCTCTTTCTTTCCACCCTTTAACACTTTTGCCTCTTTTGTGGCTTCTCTGTTCCTTTTGGTTTAAATAAAAGTGATACTTTTTAAACACCAAATTCAAGGAGGGGAGAGACTTTATGTGATAAATTAATGTTTAGTCGCAGAGGAATCCTATTAACTGTTGTTAACTGTAGAATATAGGACAATAACTCTAAAGCCATGAATGTTGTTGTTGTTAGTTGCAAAGTCATGTCCAGCCCATTGCGACCCCATGGACAAGGTTCCTCCAGACCTTCCTGTCCTCTACCATCCCCCAGTGTCCATTTAAGCTCACACCGACTGCTTCAATGATTCCATCCAGCCAACTCATTCTCTGCTGTCCCCTTCTTCTTTCCCCGTATTAGGGTCTTCTCCAGTGAGTCCTTCCTTCTCATTAGGTGGCCAAAGTATTTCAGTTTCATCTTCAGGATCTGGCCTCCTAAAGAGCAGTCAGGGTTGATATCCTCTAGGACTGACCAGTTTGATTGCCTTGCAGTCCAAGGGACTCACAGGAGTCTTCTTCAGCACCATAGTTCAAAGGCCTCAATTCTTTTGTGCTCAGCCTTTCTTATGGAAGCCATGAATATTTTGTAGCAAATCTCTAGGTCTAAAGAAGACTTGCTAAAGAGATATCCATCTTCAGATAGGTAATACCGCTTGCTAATCTAGCACTTGAATCCAACTCTTAGTCCTCTTCAGGGTGATATAACAGGAAGAAATCATATGATATGATCACAACCTATACATGTACACTTGGTAGCATCCCTTATTAGCATTCTTGAGGACTGGGAAGAAAAGGATCTTGTATAGTTCTTCTGTGTAATTTTGCCACCTCTTCTTAATCTCTTCTGCCTCTGTTAGGTCCCTGCCATTTTGGTCCTTTATCATCTTTGGCCCATCTTTGCATGAAACGTTCCTTTCATATCTCCAATTTTCTTGAAGAGATCTCTGGTCCTCCTTATTCTATTGTTTTCTTCTATTTCTTTTCACTGTTCATTTAAGAAAGTATTCTTATCTCTTCTACCTATTCTCTGGAATTCTGCAATCAATTGGGTATATCTTTCTCTTTCTCCCTTGCCTTTCGCTTCCCTTCTTTTCTCAGCTATTTGCAAAACTTCCTCAGACAGCCATTTTGCTTTCTTGCATTACTTTTTCTTTGGGATGGTTTTAGTTGCTACCTCTTGTACAATGTTGCAATACTCCGTCCATAGTTCTTCAGGCACTCTGTCTATCAGATCTAATTCCTTAAATCTGTTTGTCACAGTGGTGGGTTACTACCGGTTCTCCCCGGTTCTTGCGAACTGGTAGTAGAAATTTTGAATAGTTCAGAGAACCGGTAAATACCACCTCTGCCTGGCCCCGCCCCCAATCTATTCTTTGCCTCCCGACTCCCAGCTGATTAGCTAAAAGGAAAAAATCAGGACTCATGTGACAAGAAGAGGGGGAAAAAAACAAGACACCGTCGCTTTACATTGAGAAGCCAAAAAGCCTCCCAACTGATATGCTAGAAGGAAAAAATCAGGACTCATTTCTCAGCCAGGAGATCACTTGGCACAGAAGAAGGGGGAAAAAAAATAGACGCTGTCACATGAAATTGACAAGCCAAGAAGCAGCTGCTGGAGGGAGGTATTTGCTTTCAGAAGCGAAATGACATTCAGCAGTTTGTTTCTGGGTCAGCTGAACAACAAACTTAATAAAAGGAGGGATTCTTATATGGTTCTATGTTTTTGAAGTTTTGGGGTTTGTGCAACATGGACTTTGTGTTTCTAAAAAGGTTTGGGTGAATTCCATTGTGAAATATCCTGTCTTGAATGAGTTTTCTGCCTGCTTGTAAATGGCTGAACTTCCGGCTTCCGCTTTCTATTATCTTTAAGCACCGATAGCTGTTTTCTTCTTGCAAAGTTTCAGCTGGCAGGAATGTGGAATGAGTATCAGGCAGGTTCCTTGTTAGCAGATTGATTTTTCCTTGCTTTTCTTATGAGTAATATTTTATTTGGGGAAATGAAGAGGGGGGGGGAGTTTGATTCCTTCCCAGAGCAGGTTAGTGGGGTGGGGAGGGAATGGGGATTTTGCAGTAACCTTCCCCTGTCATGCCTGACACGCCACACCACACCATACTCACCACACCACACCCACAGAACCAGTAGTAAAAATTTTTGAAACCCACCACTGCATAAGTCCACCTTAATATGCTATTCCTGGTATGTGGTGAAGCACTCTTGTAATCTTTGACTTTTAGGCTTGCTGTCAAACATCAGCCATAATACTAATGACTGTTTTGAACAATATGCAGGTTGTATTACACGAATGGCTATTTTATATTTGAAATTATGACTGAAATATTTCTGCACCTATATTGGTTCTCACTGTCAGTAAGTTTCTCCTTAGTTTTAGGTTACTTCTCTCTTTGTTCAGTTTCCATCCATTGTTTCTTGTTTTGCCTTCTGGTGCTTTGGAAAATACAACCCCCCCTCCCACATTTCTTTCTGGCAGCCTCTTGAAAGCCTGTTACTTATCACACTATTGAGCAAAGCCTGTGAGCCATTTCCTCCTTTCAGTGGTCTATAGTGGTCTTAAGTACAGTGGTACTTAGTGGTTTTAGTGGTCTTAAGTACATCTATAGTATGTAAATAATAAAGTTGAAAAAAAGCGAACAACATTTTAGAGAACTATAGATACATTGATGCTGGGTGTAACAAGGAATGGCTGGGAGGGGAGGGGCCAGGTGAGGCACCCCTTCACGTGAGTGACATTGAGTTGGCCATGCCTACCCAGTCACATGACCATCAAGCCATGCCCGCTGTCACATGACCATCAAGCCATGCCCACAAAATAAGCCACGCCCACCTCTACTGTATCAGGGATATGATTTAGTTCCTACCTGAGTGGTATGATTTTAATTACATTTTATGGATTGTTGTGAATTGATATGAGAGATATATTAGCTTTGTGAATAGGTAAGTAAATAAAATAAATGCTTTGGTTTTGCAAAAAGTTTATTCTAAGCAGATTGAAACAGTTACAATAGTAAGAAACCTTCATACTTTCTTTTTGAGTAGAAGAAGGTGTGGGAGTTTCTTACTGTTGAAACTGTTTTCCTTACCTGGCTACTGAACTGTAAGAATAATTTTCCTCATTTTCTTCTTCCAAATCATAATGTGGAGAAAATGATAGGCAGAATCAGTTCTGGTGATTTTGATAGGATTTCTTTGATCGTGACATAACAAGCTTGCTATCTCTCTCTGATATTTCTTTTGGCAAGAAGCTCCTAGTGGTGTCAATGGGACTGTTCTTCTCATAGAAATTTCAAACATGTCTATCACTTGCAGAGTTCAAATAAATTGAATAATTTAATTTAAATGTCAACTTGCAAAGCATCCCTGGCCTGCTCTTGAGTTGCCATAGGCAAGGGGGATGGGAAACCAACGAAACAGCATGGCAACCAAAGACAGATGCACATTTCAAAATCCCCATTCCCACGCCACTCCTGGGGCCAGCCAGAGGTGGGATTTGCCAGTTCTCCAAACTACTCAAAATTTCCACTACTAGTTCTCCAGAACCTGTCAGAACCTGCTGAATTTTACCCCTGGACGATAGGCACATTAGTGCACTTATGCATGCTCTCTGTACTGACCACTTAAGTATGATGTAAGTTCCATGGAAGTCAATTTGTGACTGAAACTGTGAAAATTTGTAGCTAAGACAACTGAATCAGGTAGGGCATTCCAGACTTTGACAACTCTATTACAGAAATCATATTTTTACAGTAAAGTTTAGAACAATTTACATGGAATTTAAAGCGGTTGTTTGCAGACATATTATTGCGATTAAAACAGAAAAAGTCATTTACAGGTAAAATATTACTATGTTTAATTTTGGATGCAATACCTAGGCCTGGCCACAAGGGACGCAGTTCTAAATTATCCAAATTGAGAATTTTGAGCCTAGTAGCATAGGGAATTCTATTGTGTAAAGAATTGTACAAGACTTTTCTTGTGAAGTACTTCTGAACCCACTCAATTGTACTGATGTCAGATATATGGTGGGGATTCCAAACAGTTGAACTATACTCTAAGATTGGTCTAGCATAGGTTTTATAAGCTCTAATGAGCAATAGAATGTTTCAAGAAAAAAAAAAGCTTCATCAAATTAACCTTACAACTCTTAATGCTTTTTTACCAATGCTGTTACAGTGAGCGTTGGAGCATAAATTGTCAGAGATAAGTACACCTAGGTCCTTTACAAGATGAGGATCATCTGCTAGATCAGGGGTCCCCAAGGTTTTGGACCACTAAATTCATAATTTGAAATCCTGTGGACCATTAATATGATCTGCCTAATGACCGGCTGGGTGGGTGTGGCCAACTTGATGTCACTCATGTCGAGGGGCGCCTTGCCAGCCTCTACTTGCCACTCAACGGCTACCCGCCTGGGCTCCTAAGGGCCCCAACAGGAAGCAGTTGTTGGAGCTAAGCAGCCACCACCAGTTGGTGACCACTGTGCTAGATCAATGCCACTTTTCTTATACTTGACATTCTTATTATGTTTACTAATATATAAGACAGAGCATTTATGAATCGAAATTTGAAGTTGTCAAATAGGTGACCATTCAGACACCATTCAGAAACATAGTTGAGATCACTTTGCAAAACAACAGAATTATCTGTAGAATTGAATAATTTTACATCATCGGCAAAAAGAACGCAATTGCTTTTAAGTTGATCACATAAATCATTGATATAGAGCAAAAAAAGATGATGAAATTTCTTACATTGCAGTGAGAACACCTACCACCACATTCTTCCCTTCTTGTTGGCTGTTCATGAAGTCAACCAGAATTCAAGGCTCTTACCCAACATCACCCTGGGCTACAACATGTATGAGAACTTTTTCAATGCAAGGATAACCTATGAGGCCATGCTGGATGTGCTGTCTACAGGACAGGAGAGCATCCCAAACTACAGATGTGGAAGAAAAAAGAACCTCCTGGCGATTCTTGAAGAGATGGATTCTGAACTCTTTGATCATATTTCCAATGTCCTGAGCATCTATAAAATTCCACAGGTATAAAGCCAAATGAAATTAATTCTGGGTTGTAAAATGTTCAGATTTGCCTAGAAGGCAGCACTAGAGGGTAAGCTATAGAGCTTGATATTGGTGTATTTTGAGCGCTGTACACAAATGCAAAGTGTGAGCTCACAGAACCAGTTTTTAAATCGGTTGCAGTCTACCATTCTATGAATATACATACTTTGGCTTTGGGCCATGTGGCCAGCAGGCCTCTGGTAGTAGAAAAAGTCTGGGTGTGACCATTGGGAATTTTGAAAATTATGACTTTTGAAAAGTAAGACTTTGTCAAACAATGTATGAGGGTTGAATCAGTGACTTTTAAACATTTTGAAAATTTAGTGACCAATACAAAAGAGATTTTTTCCATAGAACCATAGAATAAAAAGTACATCTCCTTACACAGAGGAGGAATGTTCAGACCACTGTAGCCAAATTGCTGTCCAAGTTTTCCTTGATAATATCCAGCAGTGGAGCTCCAGGAGGCAGGCTGTTCCAACTCTTCATAACTCTCACAGTGAGGAATTCCTCATTTTTATAATGTTGAGACTGAAGTAAAAAATTCAAAAGAAAGATATGAAAAAACAATGAATGGGTCAAGATAAGTAGAAGGCACCTCCAGAAAGCAGCTTTCTCATACTTTCTCTATTGTATATATAAAAAATAGTGTACATAAAAAAGGCTGAGCGCCAAAGAACTGAGGCCTTTGAACTATGGTGCGGGAGAAGACTCCTGTGAGTCCCTTGGACTGCAAGGTGATCAACCGGTTAGTCCTAGAGCAGGGATCCCCAACCTTTTCGACCTCAGGGACCACTACATTCATAATTTTAAATCCCGCGGACCACTAATATGATCTGCCTAATGACCGGCTGGGTGGGTGTGGCCAACTTGATGTCACTCACATCGAGGGGCGCCTTGCCAACCTCTACTTATCACTCCTCGCCTACCCGCTTGGGCTCCTTAGGGCCCCAACAGGAAGCAGTTGTTGGAGCTAAGCAGCCACCATGAGAAAGAGTTGGCAAAACATCTGGCTCAGTTCAAATTCAATCTGACCAATAGGGATGCTCAGCACCTCACTGAGGACTACGAGCATAGGCTTTCCAAGCAGAGGGAAGACCTGCGGGAGTACAAGGCCAGTTACAGGTACCTGGAGGCTCAGCAGACTGAGATGGTCAGCCAATCCCAGGCCATGATGCAGTCTCACTGGAACAAGGCCCTCCGGCTCATCACCACCAGCGGCACTTCCCTCCAGCCTTCACCCAAAGCCCCGCACCAGGGGGCTGAAAGAGAACCCAAGTCAGAATTTCTTCCCCCCTCTGACCCACACAAGAAGATCCCAAATGGGGAGATTCTGCAGCAACACAAATGTTCATTGCACGTATCCGTAGTTTGAGGACCCCTGATTTAGTGCAATATAAAAACTGCAAATAATTTTTCTGAGGACCACCACATTTTTCTCGTGGACCACCACTGGTCCATGGACCATCAGTTGGTGACCACTTTCCTAGAGGAGATAAACCCTGACTGCTCTTTAGTGGCCAGATCCTGAAGATGAAACTCAAATACTTTGGCCACCTATTGAGAAGGAAGGACTCACTGGAGGAGAGCCTAATGCTGGGTAGGGAAGAAGAAGGAGACGACAGAGAACGAGGTAGTTGGATCGAATCACTGAAGCAGTAGGTGTGAGCTTAAATGGACTCCAGAGGATGGTAGAAGACAGGAAGGCCTGGAGAAACATTGTCCATGGGGTCACGATGGATCAGACACAGGGGTGAAATGCTCCCAGTTCGGACTGGATCGCCCGAAAATCCCACGATCATCAGAGGCTTTTTTTTTTTTTTTTACTTTTAAAAGCACTTTTTTTACAACTTCTTCCTTCTTCAGTTCCAAGTTGGGGGAAAGACACTGGATTCATGGAAGTTCCTTGGAGAGATGGCTTTAATGGTGAACAGGATCACATGCCTTGATGATGTTGGGTGAAGAAAAAAAGGGAAGAGATGCTGAGAGTGCCTGAGTTTTATGCCCTCTCTGGGCTTTTGAATTTGAGCTTGTGTTCTGATTGGTTGTCAGACTCCCATGGGGCCATGCAGAGACAACTCTGTAGGCTGTGTTTTGAGTCCAGGTTTGGTTGAGCCTTGCTGGATGGTGCTAGAATAGAATAGAATAGAATAGAATAGAATAGAATAGAATAGAATAGAATAGAATGGAATAGAATAGAATAGAATAGAATAGAATAGAATAGAATAGAATAGAATAGAATAGAATAGAATAGAATAGAATTCTTTATTGGCCAAATGTGATTGGGCACACAAGGAATTTGTCTTGGTGCATACGCTCTCTGATTACATAAAAGAAAAGATACATTCCTCAAGAATCATAAGGTACAACACTTAACGATAATCATAGGGAAACAGTCAATATAAATCTTAAGGATACCAGCAACAAGCTTACAGTCAGACAGTCATAAGTGAGAGTGTAGAATAGATTGGCTCAGGGCTTAATGGCTCATTGACAAAGGTGTGGGGGGCCTGAGTTTCTGCCTCCCTTTTAGGGGAAATATTCTTCCCTTTTAATATTTCCTAAAATATCTCATTTTCCTAGGAGGGTGGGTGCTAACTTCCTACACTACCAATACCTTCTCTTTTATCTTAGATCAACTATAATGTCATCAACCAGATGGCTGAGAAAAATCATCATTTTCCTTTTTCATATCGGATGACCCCAAACCAAGAACCTCCTTACTCAGCAATCGTCCAGCTACTCCTGCATTTCCAATGGACGTGGATCGGCGTCCTTTCTCAGGACAATGAAAAAGGAGAAAAATTCAAAAGACGCTTGGAAGTCCTTGCTCTAAAAAATGGGATTTGCATTGTCCTCTCAGGAACCGTCCCAGAAGCAAATATGAAGACAAGTGCTGGAGAAACTCTCATGCAAGAAAAAAGAAAAATGTTCCATTCTCTTATCAAGAGTCAAATAAAAATTATAGTATGCCAACTGGATTTTCAGGCCTCAGGAATGTTAGCAATAATAATACAAACGATTGATATGACTAATACATCCATTGTGGGAAGGGTGTGGATTGCAACAACTTTGACAGCTTCAAGTGTAGGTATTTTTGACCTCTTGGTTGATCTCCAAAATAAATATGCTTTGTTTTCCTTCCTCATCCAGACAAAGAGAAGGACTCAGTATTATTACATTAAATCTTATGCATCTATGTTCTTATCGTACGGAAAGGAAGCGTTCCAATGTTCTTATTCAAGTCCTGTGTTATCTAAGAAAGTTTGGAAAAAATGTAGAGAAAAGGAGAATTGGAAATTCCCACCCCATGATGTGATTGCAAGAATCATGTCTCAGGACTCCTCCAGTATTTCCCAAATAATTCAAATTGTGGCCTGGGTCCTCAGTGCTGCCTCTTCCTCCCAACGGAGTAAGAGGAGAATGCAAGTTGGAGACCATCAACCACCCCAGATTGTACAGCCATGGCAGGTAAGTCTTCTCCTTTGAGGTTCCATTGATTCTCCCCTTCCAATTCCTCAATATTAAATTAGATGTAGAAAGGGGTGAAATATTCCAAAGAGCAGTTGCCCAGTTTGTGGTATTTGAGAGTGGGTGTCAATCCTGAAGCTGACCTGACCGAGGCCATTTTGATGCTTCAGTGTTGCCACATTGGAGCTGAGGAATAGAGAGGGAGGGGAGGAATAGACATAGCTGGAGTTTTGTAGCCAAAACAAAATACTTTCTCCTAGGAACCAAGGACATTCCCACCAATGGCCGGAGGGAGGATGAGTGAAGTCACCAGGCAACCGGATGACACCTTGATTGGACCATGTGACTGATTGTTTGGAAAGGGGAGGAAAACTTTTACTTTTAATTAGGTGAAAACTGTGGAAACATTTAGAGTCAGTTTTCACCAGCCTATGCCTCTATGATATGTCCAATAAAACTGATATTTGAGGAATCTGCTTGTCTCAGAGTCTTGTATGCTATGGGTGTATTACTTGGAACCCTGAGTTAGAGTGAGATGATAGAGAAACATCTTCCAAAGTTAAACAACCTGTGCTAGTTTGAGATGCTTTTGTGACAGAAATAGCTCTATGGTGACAACGTAATTTTCAAAATTAAATAAGCATCAGAATATTCCATCTCTTTGTGAGATGGGGTCATGGGGTTCAGATGGGCTTGTTGCTTGCATAGCTGGCTCCCTGCCATGTGGCAAAACAGCCCTGCCCGAGCTCCTCGACATGATAGCCATCGTGGCAGTTGATACACCCTGGCTTATGGTCATGGGTGATTTCAACTTGCCGTCCATTGGTGAAACGTCTGAGACTGCTCGGGAGTTCATGGCTTCCATGATGGCCATGGACCTTACCCAGCTAGTTCATGGCCCCACCCACAGGGGGCGTCACACTCTGGACTTGATTTTTGTCTCTGGCCAGTGGTTGAGTGGTCTTGTTATAGGGGATATAGACATGGAACCCTTGTCATGGTCAGATCACTCACTCCTTTGCCTGGACCTTCGAACCGCTACACCGCGCCATAGGTAGGCGGAGCCAATAAGTTGGGTCTGCCCCAGGTGCCTGATGGATCCTGATAGGTTCCAGATGGAGCTTGGGCCACTTCCTGAGAATCTGGCACATGACTCGGTTGAGGACCTGGTGGCTGCCTGGGATTGGGCGGCTGGTGGGGCCATGGATCGAGTCGTGCCTCTGCGGCCTCTGACCCGGTGCCGATCCCTCATGGCTCCTTGGTTTACGAAGGAGCTGAGGGAGATGAAGCGCCAGAAAAGACGCCTGGAGAGCGGTTGGAGGGCCAGTCTCGCTGAATCTGACCGAACAGTGGTAAGGTCGCATATTAAGACCTACCTAGTGGCGATAAAAGTGGAAAAGTTTAATTACTTTTCCCCTCTTATTGCATCATCAGAGAATCGTCCAGCTGCCCTGTTCAGGGTGACCCACTCCCTGCTCCATCCAGGAGTGCGGGAGGACCCCCTGGAAGGCAGGGCTGAGGATTTCTGACAATACCTGTATCACAAAAATGCTCAGATCCGGGGGGATTTGGACTCTGACTAGGTAGATTCGGGCAGGGTGACGAGGAACAGTCTTGAGAATGTTATCTGGGAAGAGTTTGACTCTGTGAATCCGGATGATGTGGACAGGATTTTGGGAAGACTCAGTGCGGCCACATGTTTACTGGACCCGTGTCCCTCCTGGTTAGTACTGGCTTCCCGGTAGGTTACATGAGGCTGGCTCCAGGGAATTATTAACGCTTCGTTGAGTAAGGGTCACTTCCCCACAGCCTTGAAAGAGGCGGTGGTGAGGCCTCTCCTCAAGAAGCCCTCCCTGGACCCGGCAGTATTGGCCAACTACCGTCCTGTCTCCAACCTTCACTTCATGGCAAAGTTTGTTGAGAGTGTGGTCGCACGACAGTTTCCACAATTCCAGTCGGGTTTCAGGCCTGGGCACAGCACGGAAACGGCATTGGTCGCATTGGTAGATGATCTCTGGAGGGCTCGGGACAGGGGTTGCTCCTCTGTTCCAGCCCTGTTAGACCTCTCAGCGGCTTTTGATACCATCGACCATGGTATCATGCTGCACCGGTTGGAAGAGTTGGGGATGGGGGGCACCATGTTATGGTGGTTCTCCTCCTTTCTCTCCGACCAGTTGCAGTCTGTGTTGGCAGGGGGGCAGAGGTCAACCTCGAGGCCTCTCATTTGTGGAGTGCCTCAGGGGTAGGTCCTCTCGCCCCTTTTGTTCAACATTTATGTGAAGCCGCTGGGTGAGATCATCCGTGGCTTTGGGGTGAAGTACCACCAGTACGCTGATGACACCCAGCTGTACATCTCCACCCCAGGCCACCCCAACGATGCCCTTGAAGTGATGTCTCAGTGCCTGGAGGCTGTGCGGATTTGGAGGGGGAGGAACAGGCTCAAGCTCAACCCTTCCAAGACTGAGTGGCTGTGGTTCCCGACATCCCGATATAGTCAGCTGACTCCATCGCTGACTATTGGGGGCGAGTCTTTGGCCCCCTCGGAGAGGGCACGCAATTTGGGAGTCCTCCTGGATACGCAGCTGTCCTTGGAGGAACATCTGATGGCTGTAGCCAGGGGGACATTTTGTCAGGTTCACCTGATTCGCCAGTTGCGACCCTTTCTTGACCAGGATTCCATGTGCACAGTCACTCATGCCCTCGTCACCTCTCGCCTGGACTACTGCAACACTCTCTACATGGGCTCCCCTTGAAGAGCACCCGGAGGCTCTAACTGGTCCAGAATGCGACCGCGCGGGTAATTACGGGAGCTGCTTGGCGCTCCCACATAACTCCGCTCCTGCGCGAGCTGCACTGGCTCCCAGTGGTCTTCCGGGTGCGCTTCAAGGTGTTGGTTACCACCTTTAAAGCGCTCCAGGCATAGGACCTAGTTATCTTCGAGACCGCCTGCTGCTACTGACAACCTCCCATCGACCTGTGTGCTCCCACAGAGAGGGCCTCCTCGGGATGCCATCAGCCAAACAATGTAGGCTGGTGACCCCCAGGGGGAGGGCCTTCTCTGTGGGGCACCTACCCTATGGAACCAGCTGCCCCCAGAGATAAGGAGAATCCAAGACCTCGGTGCCTTCCACCATGCCCTTAAAACTTTCTTTTTCCAGCAAGCCGGGCTGGCTTAACATATTTTTAAATATTTTAATTGGTTTGTCATTTTAAACTGGGGCCAAATTAATATATATTCTTTTAATTGTTTTTAATGTTTGTATTGTATGTTTTTATCTGGCTGTACACCCCCCTGAGTCCCTTGGGAGAAGGTGCGGTATATAAATTCAAAATAAAATAAAAATAAAATAAAATCAATCAATCCTCAACCCTTTATTGTGATCACAAAGTGATCTCCAAGCTATGGAGTTGAACTGGATTGTTTGTTCTGGATTAAGATTGAACTTTGCTACCTAAATCCGCTAACTTCATCTTGATCAGGTCTGATGGCAAAATTGTATTCTCCATCTTTTCCCATTACATGTTTTCCCATATCTGCAAATGGTCTTGCCTCAGAGGGGACTGTGATGGTGAAGCAGCAAAACATAGAACATAAAGTGTAGAATAATAAGAGTTTGAAAGGACCTCAGAGGCTGCGGCTGCAGGCATCTTGCGACAAGGGGACCGAGATACAGGCTGGCATTCAGCCCAGCGGTGATGGCTCAGCCCTGGCTTGCCTTCCCTGGCAGCCACCTAAGAGAGGAAGTTAAGGACAATAATGTGGCAAAGGGAGAATGGGCAGTGGGCAGCAAGTAGGCGGCGCCTCTGGGACAAGGCCGGAGCCAGGAAATGATGCATTCCCTGACCCGGTCGAGGTGGGGGGCAAGCGGGTGGTGGCTCTTTGGCAAGGCCGGAGACATGGAATGGTGATTTCCCTGACCCGGTCGAGGTGGGCAGTGAGTGGGTGGCAGCTGCAAGGACTCAGGGAATCGCATGTGCCCGGGCCCCAGCACCCAACCCAAGTTGAAGGGCGAACAGGCGGCATGCATTGCTTCCCTTTGGTGAGCTGAGCAGGTGAGGCGACTGGTGAGGCAAGTAGCCGGGCCGCATGGCAAAGGGAACTTATATAGGGTGGGAGTTGGTGGGTGGGCCGAGCAACCAGAAGCAGCGAGTGAGACAGAAGGGGTGAGAGAGTCGGAAGAGGTAAGCGGGCAAGCGGACGAGCGGTCATGTGTGGATCACCAGGGATTATTGCTACTGGTCTGGTGAACTGATGCCAATCATCCCTACCGGTTCACCCAAAGCGGTCTGAACCAGAAGGATTTTACCCCTGCTGTAACTGTTCTTGGTATCTTTTAGCCTCCATTTCCCTAATCATTTTTGTTGCTCATCTCTACAGTCTTTCCAGTGTTTCAATATCTTTTTTATATTGTGTTGACCAGAACTGGATGCAGTATTCTAAATATGGTCTTACTAAGGTTTTGTAAAGCCATATTAGAACTTCATGTGATCTTGATTCTATCCCTTTATTAACGCAGCCTAGGATTGCATTGGCATTTTTGTCTGCTCCCACACATTGTTGGCTCATATTTAAGTGATTGTTTACTAGGACTCCAAAATCCTTCTCACAGTTACTGGCATTAAGCCAAATTTCACGTAGTCTGTACCTATACAGTTGGTTTTTCTTGCCTAAGTATAAAACCTTACTTTTATCTATGTTGAATTTCATTTTGGTAGATAGGGGCCCATGTTCAATTTGTCAAGTTCTTTTTGGATCGTAAGTTGTGTTCTGGGGTGTTGGCTATTCCTGCCAGCTTAGTGTCATCTGCAAATTTGATCAGTTCCCCTTCAATTCCCTTGCCTAGATCTTTTTTGAAGATATTGAAGGGTGCTGGGCCTAAAATGGAAACTCGAGGTTCCCCATTGCTTACTTTTCTCCATGTGGATGAGGTTCCCCAGAGCACTACATATTGAATATAATTTGTTAGCCAGTTACAAAGCCACTTGATGGTGGTGTTATCTATTCCATGTTTTCAAGAATGTGAGATAATGAATTACTTGGCTGAGGGGATAGATGGGGAACTCATCAAATTTGCAGATACCACCAAGCTGGCAGGAATGGCCAACACTCCGGAACATAGGCTCAAGATACAGAAGGATCTTGACAGACTTGAAGATTGGGCGCTATCTAACAAAATGAAATTCAATGGAGAAAAAAGTAAGGTTCTACATTTAGGCAAGAAAAACAAAGTGCACAGGTACAGTATATGTGGTACCTTGCTCAATAGTAGTAACTGTGAGGGGGATCTTGGAGTCCTAGTGGACAACCATTTAAATATGAGCCAGCAGTGTGCAGCAGCTGCCAAAAAAGCCAACACAGTTGCAGGATGCATAAACAGAGGGATAGAATCAAGATCACGTGAAGTGTTAGTAACACTTTATAATTCCTTGGTAAGTCCATACTTGGAATACTGCATCCAGTTTTGGTTGCCA